CAAACAAAACTCCAGTCTGAAGTGGCCCTTGGCGAGTTAAAATCACTGTCCCATTCCTTAATCTTCGAGGTTTATGCAAAATCGGTTTGGGCTGCGAGTCACAGAAAGCCCGAGGTACTGACTGCAGGGCTCACTCTTGTAAGCACACATCGATCGAAGGGGGATAAGAGAGCTTTGTAATTTCTGCACCCTCCAGTGTGGGGATCTGACGGCAGCGCTATTTGTGGGCGCGGGTCCAGACATTTCAGACTCCAGCCCACTCCCAATTCAACAGGGGCTCGCTGACCACTAACCGGCGCACTTTTCACTTTGTTTTCTCTTTTCTGATAATTACTAATACAGTAATACTAATGGGGCTCGAAGGACGTGCTCCCAGAGCCGACATTGTGTCTGGCACCATGCCAAGTCCTTTCCATGGTCTGTTCAAACCAACAACCTTGCCAAGTAGGTACAGTTATGTTTCCATTTTACAGACCTGAAACAGAGGTCCTTGCAGAGCAAAAGAGACTTTCCCCGGAAGTGACAGAGACTGGATTTTTTTTTTTTTATTTTTTTTTTTCCAACGTTTATTTATTTTTGGGACAGAGAGAGACAGAGCATGAACGGGGGAGGGGCAGAGAGAGAGGGAGACACAGAATCGGAAACAGGCTCCAGGCTCTGAGCCATCAGCCCAGAGCCTGACGCGGGGCTCGAACTCACGGACCACGAGATCGTAACCTGGCTGAAGTCGGACGCTTAACCGACTGCGCCACCCAGGCGCCCCATGCATCTACTCTTGATTTCAGCTCAGGTCGTGATCTCACAGTTCGTGGGTTCGAGCCCCGCATCGGCCTCTGCGCTGACAGCTTGGAGTGCTTGAGATTCTGTCTTTCTCCCTTTCTCTGCCGCTCCCCTGCTCTCTCTCCTCTCTCCCTCTCAAAGTAAACACTTTTTTTAAAAAAAAGTGTGTGTGTCTGTGTGTTTAAGAGAGGCAGTAAAGGACCCTGGAACACAAGCCTTCCCCAGGGTTTAAATCCAGTCTCTGGAGGGGCACCTGGGTGGCTCAGTCGGTTGGGCGTCCGACTTCAGCTCGGGTCACGATCTCGCGGCCCGTGAGTTCGAGCCCCGCATTGGGCTCTGGGCTGATGGCTCAGAGCCTGGAGTCTGCTTCCGATTCTGTGTCTCCCTCTCTCTCTGCCCCTCCCCCGTTCATGCTCTGT